GTTCGGTCCTCTGCGCTCTCCTCTCCACCTCTGTTGGTACTACCATTTTATTTCAATCAGCAATTAATTACAATGAACGAGAGTAACCGTGAGTCTAGGAAATGACATTTTTCTGCATTCTGTTACTAATTCGTCATCGGCGGCCAAAACGCATTTTTAATGGCGGCCAAAGTAATTCCTGAAAATGACTCTTAGCCGCCGGCGGCCAAAAGCAATTTTTTTCGGCGGCCCAAAAAATTCTCGAAAATCACACTTGGCCGGCGGCGGCCAAAAGTAAATTTTCCGGCGGCCAGAAGTAATTTCCATAAAGTTACATTTGGCCGCCGGCGGCCAAGAGTGATTCTCGTCGGCGGCTAAACCGTCGGCGGCCAACTTACACTGAGCCCATACAGCCAGAACTTTTTGACACATTCATTCGTTGGCGCACGAATAAAATTGCTTTGGTTGCCGATGTAGAAAAAATGTATCGCCAAATTCTGCTAGCCCCGGAAGATCGAAAATATCAAAAAATTCTTTGGAGATTTTCGAAAGAAGAGCCAATTCAAACCTACGAAATCAATCGCGTTATGTTTGGTGGCAAATCAGCTCCCTTTCTTGACATCAACGCAACGTTTCACCTGGCTGATACAGAGACAGAAAAATTCCCAAACGCGGCTGAAATTATTTCAGTATATTGTATACAACCGATATCAACGATTTAGATCCGCTTACAACGGGTCATTTGTTAATCGGTGCACCATTGAACTTAATCCCTGAACCTAGTCTATTGGCATTAAAAGACAACACGCTGGATCGGTTCCAGGCAATTCAAAAGGGGCTTCAAACCTTTTGGCAACGATTTTATGGCGAATATTTGCACGCTCAACACCCTCGCAAGAAGTGGTATAAGCCACAGAAAGACATCGCAATCGACGATCTGGTTGTAATAATCGACGATAATTTACCCCCCGCGAAATGGAAGATGGCTCGAGTGAAAGAGATATACGAAAGCACCGATGGATACGTACGCATGGCAAGGTTGCAGACAGCAGATTCGGAGAAGACGCGCCCCATAGTGAAACTTTGTAAGTTACCAGTTGCCGAGAAAAATGATTAAAATGCTTATTGTATGATTATATTGTAATTTAGATACTTGGCACCAATCTGTTTTCTCCACACTGTGCAGGGCCCTTTTAGTTTTAAGATTTCGGAGTTTTTAGCAGTCTCTTTTGTCTTAAAGTTTTTCGCCCCGGAGTATGTTACAAATGTAACAACAAAATTTAATTTATTCCAGGCAATTTTAAGTTTAAGTGTTTTCATTCTTTTAATCGCCTATCGCTCCAAAATTCATCTCTTTGTTGCTCTCGTTCGTCGCTTCGCTTCGCTCACGCATTTCTCCCCGTTTTCTCATTTCTCCTCTCGCTTCGCGCATGCTCAACACTCGCCCGTCGGCGCATTTCGCGCCAAATTTTGGGTATAAATAGCCACACGAAACTGAGCATTGCAAGTCAGTAGCAAACAGAGCGACTAGCGAAAGCAATCACGAGTGACTAGCGAAAGCAGCAAAGAGCGACTAACGAAAGCAATTACGAGCGATTAGTGAAAGCAAAGAGTAAGTGTATACTGTTTAAGAAGAGAAAAATTGTCTTGTTCGTAAGAAGATAAAATAAAAATCATATTAATTTTCTTTCTACTACATAAAACCAGTGGCGTTTCAATCCGGTTTTATTCAGTAATTTTATACAATAAATAGTTGTAATAGTCTTTCTCGATTGGTATAACAATTTGGTCTAAAAAGCATTGACACAAGATAACCTAACCAAAACATGGAAATGCATAGGTAGCCAAATGTAAACGGTCCAATATAGCCTAACTTAAACGTGTAAAAAATGAAAGACCAACTGAAGCGTTAACACTGTAGTGACGGCCCTAATGACTGCAAAAGTCATCATTCAATTTATCCAGAGGTGATACATTGAAGAAAAGTTTTACGTCTAATCTAACAAGTCCCTGTTGGTAGTTATGAATTTGTAATTTAGTAGAGACCGAAAGACATAAGAAAAAAAAATTTAATTTACAATACTTGCAAATACATTAACATAAACGGTAGTTTCCATTATAAATTATAAATTAATGGCAGGTCAAAAGTTAATCACCAACTCAATGGATGGCTATATCACAGTTAATATTGCTACTTATTTTAAAGTTTGTGTAAAAATCACGGATAAATATCATTATTTCTATACATTTTGTAGAGATGTAAGATAACAATTCGTCAATATTTTGTATTAAACTTTTGGTTTTGTTCGCTTCGTATCGACGAGATGAAGTTTGCACGGCTGGTTGAATTGTTGAATTGATCTGCCACTTTGTTTGCAAACTTGCACATTTGAGGCACTTGAGCTCTGATTTGTTTGTCCATGAGCTTATTTTTAATCTTGAGGTAGTCTGTGTGCCGTAAGATACGTACGCTCTTTCCAATTGCTATGTCGTTACGTACATTGGGACAATTTGCGATCCCATTCACGATGTCGTACATGAATACAATAGATGCATTCACTCTTCTACGCTCCAACGATGTCATGTTCAACGCCTCAAGTCGTTTGTTGTAGTCGATGATACTATAGCCGTTGGCCGCTGTACGGTATTCTCTTCGGGCGAACTGGGTGAATTTCCTCAAAACGCTCTCGATTTCGTCGATATGTATGGCATAAGTTGGCAGCCATACAACGTTGCAGTACTCAAGATGAGACTGAACCAGTGCGTAAGGGAGATGGTCTAGTTATGAGACAGCGCCAGTTATGAGACAGTCAATTATTTCTGTCGTACGCTATGGAAATGTTGGTATGAGAGCTGTCAATGTTCTTTATTTGATGTCCGCCAGTTTTTAGGCGAACACCGAAGTGAATAGACGCATTGCTTGTATACGCACCAAACATCGTGTTGAAAATCGTGTGAAAAAAGGATTTGGAATATTTTTCATAGTGCCAATTTTTTGTGAAAATCAAGTTAAAAAGGTGAGTGTAATGCATTAAAATGTTGTATTTTGATTATATTTTGTGATTCTAGTTCGGATTGTTCGATTATGGGTTGTGGAAATTTTTTTGTGAGTAATGTTCAAAATGGCGTCTCGATCCGGTTATGAGACACCGTGTTGCCCAGTTATGAGACACTCTAGATTTTGCACTGAAAGCATATAGAAACGTCATATTTCGTCGTTTTTGTTGTCAAAACGCATTTATATGCAATTACAATTGTATTTTAACTAATATTCTCGGATTTTCAGCCATGTCTCCTCCAAAAAAGGCTACGCCTAGTCGAAATAAGGTGGTCGAAAATTTTGATGCGCTGTTGCAAGCCATTAAATTATGTATAGTGGAGAAGAAAGGTATTCGAAGGACTGCCCAAGAACATGGAATAGATAAGAGCACCTTACAGCGCTACGTGAAGAAAGTTGCAGACAATTTTGATGATATTGCAACAGTGACAGCCCTCTGAACTATCCAGCTCGGTGTCACTAATGTCTCTTGCAAGCAACACTTCGTCGGTTTTGGATGCGGTTGGCCCTCTACAAGGCAAAACTCCAAAACCAAAGTCGAATCGTGGACGAAAACCGATGGAAAGTGCTGAATTGACTTCTCCGGAAACCATGTCCGTTTTGAAGCAAAAGGCACTTGCGAAAGCGCAAAAAGCAGCAGCGAAAGCGGAAAAGGCAGCAAAGAAAGCAACGCCAAAGAAGCCAACCCCTAAGAAAGCAGCACCGAAGAGAGCAACATCAAAAGCAACACCACCGCCCAAGCGTCGTAGAACTGAAAAATCACCACCGTCCGATGAAGACACGGACTTCTGCATCATTTGTTTGACGCTGTTACCAAACAAATTGACTGCTGAAAATTCCATCCAATGCAACGTATGCACGCGGCCAGTTCACTTGAAATGCGCTGACATGCGTGCAAGCTTCTTTACTTGCAAACACTGCGACAGTGACATGGAACAAGAAGAAGATGAGGATTTCGATGATGATGATGAATGAAAATTGTTATTTCCTTGTCATGTAAGGCCATTAAAGGCCCAATTTTCTTTATATTAGCCATTTAAGGCCTTTATAATAAATAAAGAATAATATTTGAACATTTTATGATGAGTTTCCTTCATATTTATCCACTTGTATTCAATTTTTCTGGGTGTCTCATAACTGGACCAAAATTTTTTTGGGGCCAAAAAAATAGTCCTCACAAGATTGGTCAAATTTTTTTTCGAGTAACTGGAATCAATAAACTTTCATCGGAAAAAAGTTGCGTCTGGACATAAGCTACATGATAGAACTCTAACTTTCTATTTTTGAAAACCACAGAATTTTTTTTAAATCTAAAACAAAACCCGTCTCATAACTAGACCATCTCCCTTAGTATAGTGTTTTGAGCGTTTGAACGTCGGTTATGTCGTAACAAAATCTTTTGATGAATCCCAAGGCTGCTGTAGCTTTCGAAGTGATCGCGTCAATGTGTTTGACAAAGCTGAGCTTCTGGTCAATGATGACGCCGAGATCTTTGTGGTCCAATACGCGCTTGAAGGTAAAATCACCGTATTTGTAATTAGTGTCGATGATGTCTTTCCTTTTTTTGGTGATTGTAAGGACGGCGCATTTGTCAAGGTTCAGGTGCAAATTGTTTACGTCGCACCAAACCTTCAGTTTGTCGATGGCCCGCTGTAGCACTTCCGCATCCGCGCTCGAGTTGATGATTTTGGCAATTTTTACATCATCAGCGAACAAGGAAATGAACACGTCGTCCATTTCGTCCACTATGTCGTTGATGAACAACAGGAATAGTGTGGGTCCGAGATGACTACCCTGTGGTACGCCAGATGATACGTTGAATTCATTCGACTCGCTGCTCCCATACTTAACGAATTGAGTTCGGTTTGACAGGTATGATTCGATCCAAGCAAGAAGATTTTCTGGCAGGTTGAACGATCTGAGTTTCAGAATCAATCTCTTGTGGTTTACTCTGTCAAACGCTTTACTGAAGTCCGTGTAGGGAACGTCTACTTGCGCACCAGAATTTATGCCTCTTTGGGCATAGTAGATGAATTCGGTGAGATTAGATGCAGTAGATCTGGACTTCATGAAGCCGTGTTGGTTCTTGGTGATTTTGTCCTGTACCAGAGACAGAAGTTTGACGTTCACCAAATGCTCGAAGAACTTCGCCACAGTTTGGAGCTTAGCTATGCAACGGTAGTTCTCTATCTTCGATCTGGCCCCCTTTTTGAAAATGGGGGATACACTCGAGCGTTTCCATTTGTCAGGGAAATGGCCAGCTGACAATGATTCGTTGAAGATCTCGGTGAGTGGAGCCGCCAAATGACTCGCACAATTCTTTAGTATCAATGGGTGCATACCATCAGGACCCGTACCTTTTTTGGTGTTCACGTATGTGTTGTATAGTATTTATCGAATTCACGAGACGCCAAGATGTATTTCCATTCAAACGACTGATGATATCCTGATCGTCTGTAACGTTTCCATGCTTTATTTTTCCTATTTTTTAGTGTAATTAGGAATTTGTTTTTCCATGGACATTTTTGTATCGACTTGACGATGTAAGTAGGCACAAATTTGATGATTGCATCGTCCAAAATCTTATGCAGCAAGTTCACCTTCTCGATGATTGTCTTTCCATGGAACAACTCGGTAAAATTGACATTTGCCAGATGTGCATTCATGTCCCTGTAGTTGGCCCGTTTGAAATTGAATGCCTTTGTTGTAATATTGGCTTCAGTCGTATTATTTACATGCCACTCAAATGTAGCCATTATCGGTGGATGATGATCTTCCACTTCCGTCAGTGCGTTAGCCTCGTTAACACGCTCAATTGAGATGTTGGTAAAATCATTAGTAAAGAACAGGTCCAATAGTCGTTCCTTTGAATCATTACGTACATGACTTACCTGATGAACTCCCATGTTCATGAGTCCCTGGATGAAAGTGGCCGTGTACTCAGGTGCAAATTTAGTTGGAATCATGATGTTGTCGTCGTCGCTATCGGTTGACCATTCCACATGTGGCAGATTAAAATCACCAACAAAAATAACGACATCTTCAGGATCGGTAGCGATTTTGTGCATAGCTGTCAAATGTGAATCGTAGATTGTTTGCGGTGAATTTGGTGGAATGTATGCACAGTAGATGTAGATGACGTGTGATTTAGTAGTAGCTTTCACACAAACGTATTCCAAATGGTCAGCACCGGCAATTTTAATCTCTTCACTGGCAAACTTTTCGTTTTTGGTTGCAATTAGTACACCGCCGCCACGTTGAAAAAGTCTATCCTTACGAAAAACAGAATTTATATGAATCGTCAAAAAATTCAGCATCATAAATATCATTTCTGAGCCGCGTTTCAGTTAAAATTATCATATCGTGATCGCAGGAAGCAGTGGTACAAAAGAAGCGTTTGTGTTTGTTGCATATGCATATCCTTGAACCCAAAACATTTATTATTTTTTGGACCCTGAAGAAGAGTCGCAGATGACTTGAAATGTCTGCATTTATTTCAAATAAATTATCGATTAGAACAAAGACCGAATTGGCTTTCATTTCAAAATCAATTCTTTTCTTAATATTCTTGATTTAATGCGACAAAATAAAATTTTAGCGATAATATGAAAAACGCACACCACGGAGGACCTTGAAGCTTTTGACCAGAACAAACGCCATCTAACGATGGCATTATAACTAGTTTGACCCTATTTAGATAGTAAAGCTTAAACGAAAATTCAATGCTAGGTAAAAAC